GTTGGCTTGAGGGAGAGCAGACCTCAATAGTCAAGGGATCTCTGGAAATACCTGGATGCCTCCGTAAGTAAGGGTTCCGCTCACTCCCAAACGTCAGCGGGCCAGAGACTCCCCTTGCATCTGCAGGAAGACAGCTTTATCCAGAGCTTGGCGCTGGGAGCTGCTCCAAGAACACCCTATCCAGGGAGCCCAGAGCAGGGTGGATTTTAGGTAAAGATGGCTCGCCCTCCTTTAACCAGCAGGTAACAAGGGGAAAAGAAGCAAAGCAACGACCAAAGCACGAAACAGGCCCTAAGGAAGACTCAAGGTAACCCCATCAAATGGAAAAACCAAACGTGCTGCTCCCTGCAAGTTGGCCGTGGAGCCTTGGCTATTTAATTAAAACTAGAGATGGAATAATCTAATTCATTTCCCAAGGAATTCTTCCCTTGGATCTGCTCACTCTTTACAAGGCCTGTCCTCATTTAGGGGGATTGGGGGTGGGGGGCAGACAGAGAAGTTTGCCACTGTATATGCCAGAAAATTACATTTGCTCTAACTTAGGCTTTGACGTTAACACTGTACATTTATAGATCCATGTGTATGAGAGCTCAAGATTAAGCTGATGATGATACAATATTAAAGTGATAGAGAATTTTTTTCAAATCAGAGACCACCAGATGCCTTCTGTTCTTTGAAGGTAACAGAGAGACTGAATGAGGTGGAAATACAGAGTTAGGGTTTCATGTGTTGAGGAAAGAGGCCTGAGGTGGATGTGGGCAGTCCTTCAAATCCAATTTGCACCCAAATTGGCCGGTAGGATATACAAAGCTCTATCCAGGGACTTTCAACTTGAACAATACTCTGTCCAAGAACCCCCTCCCCCTCCATTTCATCTAGTAGCAGTTCTAAAAAGAAGCCATTGCTGAAACAAATGTGGGCTGCTGAGTAAACAGTGCCTGTTTTGTTAAACAAGCCCATATATATAATATAGATGTACGTATATATAAATCATTCTATCTCATCATTAAGTCTAATTAAAATTATTAGAAGGAATTAAAGCTCACCCCCCCACTGCAAATAACCTTTGTCATTAGGAAGAATATCTTTAATATGATTATATTAAACTATAATCTATTTATTCCTACCACAAATACCTTATTTTAAGACTTGCACCCATGCAACCCTTGAAATAATATAACACATTTTAAATCTGCATGCAAAACATTTTCCCAGTCAATATATGCTCCTAGCACATAAAATCAGATTAATGCGGCTCTCATTAGCAGACCCCAGTTTTTGCTATTTGAAAGTAAACAGAAGAAAAACTTATTTTCACCTGCTAAAATTGTATGCAGGATTACAAAACAATGAACACTCAGCTTTGACCTAAGAAACACCTTAAAACATTAAAAATTCATCAGTCAGTGCTAGTGTTGTATTCAAGGAAGGCTCCTCCAGTTTGCTGCTGCGCTCGGATTTGAATAAAATGTCCAATGTTAACAAACAATACCCACGTTTGGCACTTTGTGTATTAAATTGATCAAACAGATTTTACCAGGCACAATGCACAATTTGTACCGACCTGATTGAGTTAATATAATATCAGCAAATTTTACATCGAAATGATTCTGTTTCTTTTCTTTGTGTTTAAAACCAGCACAGATTACAAATTTTAATGATCTGAAAATGTTTGGTATACAAAATCATGCTTATTTCAGTATTAGCAAAAACACAAGAAATTTTTCAACACAAACACCCAGCTGTGTCTATTTTAAAAGCAGTTCAATGACAGCTTGCACTTATGAGCATGCAATCAGCTAATTTCGCTTTTTTTTTTCTTGTGTGTTAATCAACACTTTCCTTCCTGCATATCAGAGTACAAATAGTATAGTTACTCCACATCAGTAAATGTTTACGTAACCTGTCCTTTCCCAAGAATCCGGTTACACCGAATCATTTCACGCTAGACCGACTACGAAAACGTACCGGGCCGTCCACCTCAGAGGGAGCCCTCGTGTGCCATTATAAGTGGTGATGAGGAGGGGGCTTTGGGGCGGGGGGGGGGGGGTGGAATGGGGAGGAGTAGGTGGAGGAATGGAGGGAGAGGAACCGAGGGAGTTGAGGGGTGGGGGGAGTGAGGGGGGAGGAGGGGGGAGAGGGGAGGAGGCAGGAATGCGAGTTGAGGAAAAGTAGGGATAACAGGCTTGGGGCGGGGAGAAGGGTGGGAGGAGGAAAAGGGAGCCGAGAGAGGACGGCCCACAGATCTCTCCAGCCGGGCCCGCAAAGCCCATTAGCTCACCGGGCTCTGTGAGAAATCTGGAGCTTAGAAGTCAAGAGTTTGGGGCCCTGTCACCATCAACGGAGATCGCTAGGACCTTGGAATTTCCCCACATGTAAATACAGTTTATTTTAAAGTAAGGAATTATGTAGACATAGGGGGAACCCACGCACACATACATACAGTGAATGGATAGTTAAGGTTAGTTTAATGTTCAAAGCTCCTTTATTGCCATTCCTCATAGATACATATTTAAAAATCATTAGTTATTTGTAATTGTCTTATTCCCTTCAGCATTTATTCTTTCTCATAATTTCAAGGTGGGGTGGGATGGGGAGAGTAGAATAGCTGTCAACCTGAGTATTCATCAATTGCATTTTTAAATATTAGAACCGAACTTTTAACAGCACAAATAGGCACCGCTTTTTTCTTCGTTTTCGTAAATAACCAAATCTGTCAGATAATTTGAGAGTTTATCAAAGTGAAGAAAGGTTTACATTCTGTGATTATTTACCTTACAGAGGTAAAGGTGCTTTTCATGTATGCTTCTCCTCCACCTCCCTCTTCTCTCAGGCTTCATCCTCCGTAAAATGTGCTACGTTTCGTGCCCATGTGGGATGAAACAGCCTTTGAATCAGTGTGCTCCGCACCAAATTCCAATCCCTGGGAAATGCTGGGCCTTAGCCCTGCCCCTGGCCACGGGATCCCTTTAAAGCCCTCGAATCACAATCTCCCCACTCACTTCAACCCTCAGTCGAACCTTCCAGTCCTAAAGCCCAAGAAGCTGGAATTGTGGGACGCACGTTCCCAAGGCTCCTGGGTGCCCTCCAGCAGCATTCAGGATGGGAAAGGGCTGGCTGAAGCATGAGGTTATTTCAGGATTAAGGCCCGCACAAATTAAAAACATTTGAGAAACGGAACGAAAAAGAAAAGAGGGAGTGAAAATAGGAAGGCTTAAAAAAAAAAAAAACCACCGGAAAGAAATAGACGCCCACCTTTTTTTCTCCCCCCTTCCAATGTCAACAATCAAAATGAAAACATTTCCAGGGTGATCGCTCGCGGCTACTCGCTTCCAATTCGGATTAGAAGCTGAGAAGACGCCGGAGCGGCGAGGAGAAAACGGCACCGAGTCGCCCAGAGCGTGAGCGAAGGTCTGGAGCCGGAGAGAAGGGGAAGGAAGAGAACGCACAGACAGAGCATGTATTCCCTGGTTTATTTCGAGATTGTTTGGTATTGTTTTCTCTCTGAGCACCCCTTATTTCGGAAGGCCATCATAGGCACCCACTACTGAGCCGCCCTCGCCCGCCGCCACCGCCGCCGCCGCAGCGCCTGGAGCCCCAGGCCCGGCTTCCCGGCGGCGCCCGAGCTCCGAGCTCGCCGCCGGACGAGCCGCAGGAATCGAGTAAGTAACCCCCGTTTGGCCCCGCGCTCGCCAGCCCACTTCCTCCTCATCTCTTCGTTTCCAAACCTCTCCCGGGCCCTCCTCCCTCAAGGTTTAGGACACCACCCCCACCCCCAACCCGCTCCGCGCCCGAGGTGGGCCTTTCCTCCCCGACCTTCCGAAGCCTCGTAGGAGCTTTACCTACGGCACGCACGGCTTTCCTACGGGCTCAGAAATGCCGGACCCGGGCCTGCAAGGCCGACCCCGCCGAGTAGTGCCTCGCCTCTTCCTCCTCCATTTCCTGCCCTCTCCCACCCACTTCTCTCCGCCGCCGCCGCCACCACCGCCCCCGCTTTTAAAATAAAACTGGATACAAACTTTAATCAATAAGGACAAATATTGACGCTCAAACGAAAATGACTCAATACAGTGAGAAGGAAGCCGAAAATGGGAGAGATCTACCCTAAGAGGGAGATTTCGGTTGAGCAGACCGGCGGGGTGGCACGGATGAGTGGAGTTAGTCGAGGGTGGGGGGGGGGGGGGCGCAGAGAAGGGCCGCGGCGCAGCGTGCTCCCGCCGGAGTATCCCTACGCGGCTCCGCGCGGCCGCGAGGCCCAGAGCCCGCGGAGAGGGGGAGGCGAGCGCCCGAGGGGGCGGGAGCCGGCGGGCAGGCGGGCGGGCGGGCGGACGGGCGGGGCGGGGGTGGGTGGGCCCGGGCCCGCCGATTGGTCGACGGCGGGAGAGACGCTCCCGCACGCCGCCGGCTCTGATTGGCCCAGCGGTAGGAAAGGTTAAACCAAAAATTTTTTTACAGCCCTAGTGTGCGCCTGTAGCTCGGAAAATTAATTGTGGCTATAGCCGCCGCGATCGCTGTCTCCCCAGCCTCGCCGCGGCCGCTCCGGGACGCGCCCGCCCGCCGCCCGGCTCTCCCCCCCTTTGGGCTGCTGCTGCTGCTGCTGCTGTGACTGCTGCTGCGAGAGGAGGAGGAGGAGGAAGCAGCAAGGGGGGGGGGGGGAGCGGGGGGGTGGGGGGGAGACCGAGAAGTAGAGTTGGGAGCGAGGGAGCTTCACCCCCGGGGCGGTGGTTGTTTCTTTTTTTTTTCCCCTCTTTCTTTCTTTTTTTCTTTTCTTTTTTTTTTTTTTTTCTTCTAATTCCTGAGGGGTGGTTGCTGCTTTTGCTACATGACTTGCCAGCGCCGGAGCCTGCGGTCCAACTGCGCTGCTGCCGAAGCGCTCAGTGCCGCCGCCGCCGCCCGCGCCCCGCTCGGCACCCACCGGTCGCCGCCGCCCGCTGCGCCGCTGCCCGGCTCCCGCGCCGCCGCCGCCGACACCGTCGCCGTTTCCCCCCGACGACTGGGTGATGCTGGACATGGGAGATAGGAAAGAGGTGAAAATGATCCCCAAGTCCTCGTTCAGTATCAACAGCCTGGTGCCAGAGGCGGTCCAGAACGACAACCACCACGCGAGCCACGGCCACCACAACAGCCACCACCCCCAGCATCACCATCACCATCACCACCATCATCACCACCCGCCGCCGCCCGCCCCGCAACCGCCACCGCAGCAGCAGCCGCCACCGCCGCCGCCGCCGCCGCCCCAGGCACCGCAGCCGCCCCAGGCGCGGGGCGCCCCGGCCGCCGACGACGACAAGGGCCCACAGCAGCTGCTGCTCCCGCCGCCGCCGCCGCCACCCCCGGCCGCCGCCCTGGACGGGGCCAAAGCGGACGGGCTGGGCGGCAAGGGAGAGCCGGGCGGCGGCCCTGGGGAGCTGGCGCCCGTCGGGCCGGACGAGAAGGAGAAGGGCGCCGGCGCCGGGGGGGAGGAGAAGAAGGGGGCGGGCGAGGGCGGCAAGGACGGGGAGGGGGGCAAGGAGGGCGAGAAGAAGAACGGCAAGTATGAGAAGCCGCCGTTCAGCTACAACGCGCTCATCATGATGGCCATCCGGCAGAGCCCGGAGAAGCGGCTGACGCTCAACGGCATCTACGAGTTCATCATGAAGAACTTCCCCTACTACCGCGAGAACAAGCAGGGCTGGCAGAACTCCATCCGCCACAACCTGTCCCTCAACAAGTGCTTCGTGAAGGTGCCGCGTCACTACGACGACCCGGGCAAGGGCAACTACTGGATGCTGGACCCGTCGAGCGACGACGTGTTCATCGGCGGCACCACGGGCAAGCTGCGGCGCCGCTCCACCACGTCGCGGGCCAAGCTGGCCTTCAAGCGCGGGGCGCGCCTCACCTCCACCGGCCTCACCTTCATGGACCGCGCCGGCTCCCTCTACTGGCCCATGTCTCCCTTCCTGTCCCTGCACCACCCCCGCGCCAGCAGCACTTTGAGTTACAACGGCACCACGTCGGCCTACCCCAGCCACCCCATGCCCTACAGCTCCGTGTTGACTCAGAACTCGCTGGGCAACAACCACTCTTTCTCCACGGCCAATGGGCTGAGCGTGGACCGGCTGGTCAACGGGGAGATCCCCTACGCCACGCACCACCTCACGGCCGCCGCGCTCGCCGCCTCGGTGCCCTGCGGCCTGTCGGTGCCCTGCTCCGGGACCTACTCCCTCAACCCCTGTTCGGTCAACCTGCTCGCGGGCCAGACCAGTTACTTTTTCCCCCACGTCCCGCACCCGTCAATGACTTCGCAGAGCAGCACGTCCATGAGCGCCCGGGCCGCGTCTTCGTCCACGTCTCCGCAGGCCCCCTCGACCCTGCCCTGTGAGTCTTTAAGACCCTCTTTGCCAAGTTTCACCACGGGACTGTCCGGGGGACTGTCTGATTATTTCACACATCAAAATCAGGGGTCTTCTTCCAACCCTTTAATACATTAACATCCCTGGGACCAGACTGTAAGTGAACGTTTTACACACATTTGCATTGTAAATGATAATTAAAAAAATAAGTCCAGGTATTTTTTATTAAGCCCCCCCCTATTTCTGTACGTTTGTTCAGTCTTTAGGGTTGTTTATTATTCTAACAAGGTGTGGAGTGTCAGCGAGGTGCAATGTGGGGAGAATACATTGTAGAATATAAGGTTTGGAAGTCAAAATTATAGTAGAATGTGTATCTAAATAGTGACTGCTTTGCCATTTTCATTCAAACCTAACAAGTCTATCCTTAAGAGCCGCCAGATTTCCATGTGTGCAGTATTATAAATTATCATGGATCTTTATGGTGGACGCAGACCTTGAGAACAACCTAAATTATGGGGAGAGTTTTAAAATGTTAAACTGTAATTTGTATTTAAGAAGCATTCGTAGTAGAGGTGCCCAAGAAATTATTTTGGCCATTTATTGTTTTGTCCTTTTCTTTAAAAAGCTGTTTTTTTTTTAATTTTGTTTACTTTTAGACCAAAGATTGGGTTCTAGAAAATGCACTTGGTATACTAAGTATTTAAAAAAAAAAAAAAGAAAGTTGTTTCAGTTGGCAGCACTGCCCATTCAAATGAATCGGAAGGGGACAAAATTAATGATTGCCTTCATTTTGTGTTGTGTATATTTTGATGTATGTGGTCACTAACAGGTCACTTTTATTTTTTCTAAATGTAGTGAAATGTTAATACCTATTGTACTTATAGGTAAACCTTGCAAATATGTAACCTGTGTTGCGCAGATGCCGCATAAATTTGAGTGATTGTTAATGTTGTCTTAAAATTTCTTGATTGTGATACTGTGGTCATATGCCCGTGTTTGTCACTTACAAAAATGTTTACTATGAACACACAGAAATAAAAAAATAGGCTAAATTCATATATATCTTGATACTTTTGTCTCTTTTATTAAGTAGAACTAATTTTTAAAAGATCATTGAAGTTCTAGGGAATTCAAAGGCTTTTTCAGCCAACTGAAATATAAACTGCTCCTTTCATTTGAACTGAGACTTTTCAAATGAACATAATATTTTTTCCATTGTGGATTCAAATTTTACCAGGAGCAGGCTATTTAATAAATGCTAGCTTTAAACAAAATATAGGCTTTTCAGCTGATATCTTTAAGTTTCTGTAGATATACAGTAAAAAGAGATTATTTAATTTTATGTGCATAGCTATTTACCTTGTGTTTATTTTCAAATCAGTTGATAGAATGCTTTTTATATATTTTGTTTCAGGTATCTTGTTTATAGCACTTGGCAAATTATAAATAAATATATGTATATGGTTAGATAGAAGTGAATATAATGCACACATATGTAATATATATAGACACACAGAGCCCTTCAGTTCAGGTACAATTTGCGCTATGAATGCTGCAAATATTTTTGTTTAAATATTTGTATTTATACTTTCTAAGTCAGCATTTATTTTTGTGGCTGTTTACCCACAATGAAAGAGTTCTAATAAAGATGTGCTGAAGTTGCAATATAGATTTTGCTGAAGTGATCACCTGTTGTAATGACTTGCAGATCAATGTTTATATTTTATTTTTAAATTATAACAATTTAAAGATCCAGATGTTCAGAAGAAGTAAAATGCCTCTCTCCTTTTCTTTCATTTTTACATCATAGAGGTATTTCTTGATTCCCTTTTAAATATGTCTGTGTAGTTTTATCTAGAAATTTGTCCTCTTGCTTAGTCATAATTTTGTTTTAACTTGCAGTATACATATGCATGCACATATATGCATATAGATATAAATCTGAAGCAAAATGAAAACATTTTCTTGAGTTGTTTAGCAGTCCAATTGCTGTGACTCCAGAAAATAATTAGTAAACCTAACTAAAAGGTTTAGTAACTAATTGGATCCTGTGGTGAGTCCGTGGAGGACAAGTTGTTCATTTGTTACAATTGTATAGTCTGAAATGTGTTCTGCAGTAATGCAATAAGCTGGCTACTTCTTACAAAGGGCCCAATGAAAAATAATCTGTCCCCAAGATGTTATCGGCAAACATTTAGAGAGTTGGTCAGGAGAAAAAAAAAAAAACCTAGGCGAGAAGCAGGCTGACTGAAACAGATTTGAAATACAACTACAGAATAGTTAATATTGGAATATGGGAATGGGTGGCCTGTGGAATGGAGAGATAGAGGAAGAGACAGCTAGAGGGAAGAAAGGGAAAGGAGGATCTTGAACCTTAAAAAAAAAAAAAAAAAAGTCCCTGCTACCAAAAAGAAAAAATGAATGCGAGAGAGGAGAGAGGAGAGAGAGATCTAAGACAGAAAAAGGCCAGGAAAAAATTAAAAGAGCTGGAACCAAATATACACAAATGGGGAAAGAACTAAAATAGACCAAGACAGCTAGTTTAATTATCTCCTTTAAGCAGACTGGACAAGATTTTATTTTCTTAGTATGAGAGCAGTTTCACCAGAGGTCCAAGTTTCTTGGAATTTAACAGTTCTTTAGGATGAAGCATGAAAGAAAATTCCACAAATAAATTATTTTAGAAGCCAAATGTATGACTGATAATAAAAATAGTAATAGCGTCCAAGTGAATGAAGTTAGGGAAAGGAAATTCCTATTACACATTTGTGATCCAAAACAGCTCAAAGACAAGCATGTGTTTAGACTGGAAAAGGTGATGATGTATTGTTTGCTTTCACCATGGGTTTTATTTGTAGAATAAGAATGTACTGGGACAGAAGAAATACAGTCTTTTGCCTATCAAAAGTTACAGACAGCCAGACTCATAGTGAGGTGAAGGGACATATATATAGAAGACAGATTTCCCCCATAAGTATTTTTTTCTGGCCATATTAAATAGCTATTATTTCTGATTGTTTATTTGCATGATCAAGAAATAGAATTCCAGTGGCAAATGTAATGTTCTAAAATCAAAAGTAAAATCGACTTCTTTGAATTGATGAGTAACTAAGGACTGGAGTAGAAAGTTCTACTTGGATGCATGTCCAAGTTACACATACAACGGATATGATTAGAAGTAAGAATAGTTTGTTTAATATGCATACTAGATACTAAGGGGGATATACAGAGAGAAGGAACTTTGTGAAGGCCTCCTGAAGCCCAATATGAACATTTCATTTATCTCAGTGAGTCCTATCGTCCCTCAAACTATCATCTTCAAAACACACAGAAATCTAGCATGGCATTTAATAGATTTTTTGCAACAAATTGGTTGTAACATTGTGTTGTTATTTGTTGTCTTCAACCTTTGCCAGTTAAAATTAACTTATGCTGGAAAAACATTTTGAAACTTTTTGAAGCTTTTCTTCTTTTATAGTTAATAACTGTTTTTAATGAGATGAAGGTTGCTCTTTTTGAGATTTTGGAACTGGAAGTGCTTAGTGATCATAACTTATTTGACATCTCAAATTGCAATTTCTTTCCAGGTTTAAAGTATTTTGTCTGCTACAAGTTAATACAAATTATTAATATATAAAACTTTGAGAGAGTGACTTACTTAAGCTAGAGCAGTGAAAAGATTCTTTCAAATGTTTCTTCAAGTTGTTTCAAAATTGGAAATTACGGGAATATGAAGCCCAGAACTAACAAGATTTAATACAAGTATCTATGCTCATGGAAGATTTCGTGTGGTTTCTATTACTCACATCAAATTGAGGATAGATAAAAAAGAAAATGAGACTTGTAGTGTTTGATTTAATTATGTATATTTAAATTGGTGGTTATTTCACCCAAGTAGGTGGATAAATCCAAAATACTTAGAGCTCTAAATATATAAATATGGTTTTTTAAAGTCTGTTTTCTACAACATCGTTGAAGAACTTGCATGCAATGAAGTAATTTTGCTTTTGAGAAATTAATTTTATGAATAGCTAAATTGGCTGGTTGTGTTTGGGACTCAATGCCTGTTTGAGCAATAGGCTAACAAAGGGTGAAGGTGAAGACCATTAGAGGTTTTAGAAGGGGCTGAGACGGGTTGCTGGGGTTGTGTAACTGTGCCTAGAGGGCGGGGTTCCTGAACATTCCTACTTCACCAGATAACCTGCCCCCAACACTACTCCAGCTTCTGCCAGACAGATGGGACTCTCCAGCATGAAAATCTGCGCAACCATTCCAACAAGTAGGGTAGGTGAAACTGAAATTAAAATTCCCCCTTCTTTTTTTTTCCCCCTACTTGAGGCCAGATCCTGGAGATACAGAAAGAATAGGGGTCATTTAGATTCTCCTTTTCGCGCATACACGTCTGCATTCTCCCTAAGAGCTTCCAACCTGTAAGAGTTCAAAGGCGCTATCTTTCACAGTACTTCATTCTTGATTTTCTCTTGCGCGCTTTTTTTTTTTTTAAGGCTTTCTTTTCCCATCCCAATCATTCTCCCGTCTCTACCCTCCCTCCAGAGTCTCCCCTCCCCCCACCCCAACCACCAGCAGTTAAAATAATCCACCTCTTGGTTTTCGGCCCCCAAACCGACCTTTTCTCCACTCCAGCGGTCAGTTCACCGGGACCTTTTCCTAAGGATGTAGGCCAAGGTGGCTCAAAGAAATATATGATGTAGTGTTATATTTTGAGTCTCTTTTCTGCCTTCCAATTTCTATCTTTTTTTCCCCCCCTCCACCCAAGACTGTGCCTGATGTTGCCCGGAGGATGCCGAGGAAAAAGACTTCAGGACTGGAAGAGCTCTTACCCAAGATCGGTAAGTGAAAGTGCTTTACCGGGATGCGGGTGGCGGGGGAGCTGTGCCCGACCGGCTGATTTTGACCAAGGCTCAAACTGAGACTTTGAGGTCCAGGACTAAAGTACTGTTTAAAAAAAAAAAAAGTTCTTTCTTAGAGGGCGCGCTATCAACAGAAGTAGCTGAAAGAATGCATGACTTTTATTCCCCCTCGGCGGCAGAAAGTCACGGTGGATCCCTAAGTAAAAGGGGTGTAGACATGGTAAAAAGGGATGGTGAGAAAAGGAGAAGAGTTTCTATGGAGCCAGGGTAGTGGGAGACTGAACTAGGTTCCAAAGTGCAAAGTAATTCATTTCGTGGGAAAAGGATTTCTGAGTCTTAAAGAAACTGCGAGAAGACACTAACGAGACTTAAGGTTCAAACCTCTACGTATTTGCTCCCCCTATTTGAGACAAAGGTTTTTGTTCGAGAGTCAAGGGCTTGCTTCGTTCTAAAGTTTTCTTTTCTTTCTTTTTATTTCTTGGTGGGATGTCCCTCCTCCCCCTATTTTCACACCAACTTCGCCCACCTCCCCCAGAGCTGGCCCTCCGCTCCCAGCTCTTTGGCCTGGGTCGGGCGAGGATCCCTGCCGGCTTTAGCGGCGTTGCTCCAGGTAGAGTCGGGGGTGGGAGGCTCTCTTTCCCTTATTCGAAGGAGTAAGGAAATGAGCACCGTTCTGGGCTTGACTTCGTCCCTGCTGGGAATATCTCAGTTCCTGGCTTTGGGATCTCAGGCTAATAATTGATTCTTAATGCACACTTAGGAGACGGCGGTGTAAGCTCGAGAGCCAGGGTATCCCGAGAGTAGCTGCGGGCGCGCGAGACAGGTTGCCTCGGCCCGAAGCGAGTTTGGAGCCCTCGCCAAGGTTTCCCCGTTAGCCTTTCTGGCGCCCCGGGGACTTCAGCACGATGGCGGGACTTGAGGTCCCTGTGGCAGGGACCCGGCAGCGCGGTTTTCTCGGTTTTTGGAATCGTGTAGAAACGTGCTTTGGGCGGCCGGGCCGCAGCGGCGCTGGCGGCGCGGTGCAGAGGCGCTCCCGGGCCGCGGCGGCGGAGACGCCGGCAGAGGGGAAGCCGGGCGCCGCGCAGCGAGCCGCAAGGTGAGGGCGCTCTTGCCCAGGACAAGGCGGAGCTCGGAGTGCGAGGGCGCCGGCTGACTCCGGGGACACCGACGCCCGCAGCTGGGCCGGCGCGCTTCCCCGCCTTTCCCCTTTCTGCCCTTTCTTCCGTGCTCCCCACCCGCCCACCTGGTGCGGTTTCAGATCTTAGCACCTGCTGGTTGATAGAACTGTTTCCTCTGTAGTGGACACCTTTTCTCCTTTCCACTCTCTACTCTTCCATTTCGCTTTCTGCCCCGTTTCTTTTCTGCCCAAACCCGTGGTCCGAAGTGAAGGATTCTTAGAGGAAAAGAGGTAGCCTTTGGGGTAGGAATTCCAACACTTTCAAAGGTGTCCCTGCGACAGGGAAAGGGATGCAGGGGGTTAGGTGGGCAGAGCATCCTGCTTGTGCGAGGGGGATTCTCAGCAGTGATCTTCAGCCTTGAAAAGAAAGAACCATGAAGAATGGAATTCATCCATTTCCGACTGTCCCCCCCTCCCCGTCTTCCATAAGACTCAATTTCTATGCCTCAACCCCTTCCTCACCTGGCCCTCTACCAAAACTAAGGGAGGCAGAAATTCCAGAATTGTTGAATTAGGAAAAGGCGTTTAAAATAGCCAGTAACTCTCAAAATTATGCTTGTGACAGTGAGAGAAGAGACAGGATGTCCCCTGTCCTTGTCACGGCGTGTCGCCTGCCGCGTGTGAATCTCAGCCCTCCTCTCCAGCCTTGGGGAAAAGCTAGGGAGGAAGCTCACTGCACGTTGCACGATGTAGGGATTATTGTCCGAATGGGGGACTGTTCACTGCCAGACGTGTTCGGGATATTCAACTTCGATTTAGGTTGAATTTTTCTACACAGTCAGCACTCCTCGAATTGGGGCCATCTTCCTCAGTTATATTCCCTTTTTCTTCTCCTCATATTGTCTAATCCTTTTAATCAGAATGCATTTCAGGTGCAAACCTATCTTGCTCTGGGTCTGGAAGGCAAGGCGTTGTTGTTGATTCTCTTGACTGAACAGAAAAACTAAAACTGTAGTGGGGTTAGAGATAAACTGAATTATCTCTCAGTTCTTTCATTTTCTCACTGCTCTGAAATTTAATGACCTGATCATTGTTGTTTGAAGTTAAATTATCTGTTAAATTAGCTCTAAACAATAACTGGTGATATTTTCCTTTTGGGATCAGTTGCCCTTGCATCCTGTTTCCTAGATGGAAAGGAGAGGAGTCAAAGAGAACGTTTGGTCACATAATTATACAAAGACAATAAAAATGGATATTTATGTGCTAGTGGTATCATGCAAGGAAAAAAATCACTTTCAAAGATGCTGAATTTCATAAATAAGAAAAAATTTGAGGCCTGTGCTTCAGAAGGACCACACTAATTCAAGGATGAATGTAAATAAGCATCTTTGTTGATTAAGAAAAAAATGTGAACACCATATTTTCATTACTCTACAGAACCTAAATACTCAAACTCATCATACACCGGTACTTGCTAATTTAAATTAATTCTGCCCTCCAGGGATAAATATTCTCAAAAAGGAAATTTAACTTTAAGCAAAATCTGAAATGTTTCAGATGTGAATTTCTAGAAATCCAAAGTATATTTATTTATTTGAGGCAGACACTTGTTTGTTTTGCAATCACTTTATGAAACAATTTTGGAATAACGCAGATGCTCTTCCCCTCTTCCTTGTTTCAGACTGCTTGCATATGCAGGCAAAGGCATAAGAACTCCCAGGGTATATTGAGGAAATAACATTTTTACTCTTTTGTTTTAACAAAAGGCCCAAAGAACCTATAAAGCCAAAGGTACCATAGTAGTTTTAAAAAATCTTTAAAAATGAGCACTTTGTGTGTCTTTTACCCATTAAAACGTGCTGAATGAATAATTAGAGGCTATAATGAAGGTTGAAAATTCAGAACATGAATAAGGTGGCAATTTTATTATTTAATGCTTTTATAACTTTTATCATTAATTATGTAATTTTAAGTTTGGCAAAGCTTTGTTAGAAAAAATAGAGTACTCCTCCCACCCCATCAAATATACTCTAGAAGGAATAAGGTAGAATCAGGTAGAAGTGGCAAGAGGGCTTGTTTATTTATTTCCAGTAGTAGTAATTGTAGTAGTAGCAGCAGCAGTGGAGTTGAAAAATATACTTTTAATTATACATTGGGAGCTCTGACTGCAGGCTGGAAGACTAAAATTGATCATTCCTGCATCGATGGTGTGGTCTATTACTGCATTGATTTGTGTTCATTTATGCAGACTTTCAGTTATTTACTTACATATTTCAGCATCTGCCTCTTGATTATTATCGCAGGTTGGTTTTAATGAAAGAACTTATATAGGAAACACATTTGACAGATCAATTTTAAGTAAACTTGGTAGTGAATTATGGCACTCCAAAGAGTGTATGAAATTACTTATTCGTACTTACTTTTTAGCAATTAGGAACCTGTCTCTGATTAAAATCTCACACTACTCAAAAGCTTCCATTCTTCTCTTCAAACATTGTGCTTCTGTTTTTACAAAATAGGAAAACAGATGATTATATGATGTTAGGTGTGATAGAATGAAACTGATGAATGAGGTTTTTTGGGGTTTTTTTTTCCGTTGACATGACTAGGTTACCCTCATGACAATAAAGTGACCATTGGGTTTACTAATGCTATTGAAAATCAAGGAGCAATGGATTTTGAATACCTCTAAGTTATGCCAGGGGTACTTATGCTGAACAGGATATTCTCAGATTCTTTAGTACATATTAAATGCATATATTCTATTATTTAGTGTATATCTACAATTATACCTTATGAAGATTGGCATTTCTCTTGAACTAAAAGCTTACATGTGAATGTTATGCATCAAAGTTGATTTGAACGAATAGGACAACTAAAGACCAGGGAGTGTTACTTTTGTATGTAAAAGGCAGTACTCTAGAAGGAATAAAGTAGAATCAGGTAGAAGTGACAGCAGGCCTTGTTTATCTATGGGAGATTAAGATGCATGTGCTTCTCTTATTGTCATTACAAAATGTTGAAAGATGACTTGGAAATGGGGGGAAGGAGTGGCCAAATTCATTGAGGGCTATTTGCTTCTGACTTTACAGATCTTTTATTGCAGTCTGGAGGATCAGTTTTTCCTCACTAATAATTTGGAATTCATCTACCAAATACGGTTAATAGTTCTCTTCTTCGTTTCTCACACTTCCCCCTTCTCTGGTATCTGCGAAGAATATAGAGGAAAATTAATCGAATTCTTTCTTAAGAAGGAAAGGGCCTTGAGACATGGAATTCACTCTCCTCACCCTGGCGAGTTTTCCTGAAACTACTTATCCTCAGCGTCGGTGCTCTGAGAGGTGGAGCCTCGCAGTCAGGCGGCTGCAGGCAGAAGGGGGGCGAGCCCTGGGACCTTAAGCTGTGTAGAAGGTTGAAAGGAGGAGCAGAGGGAGAGCTTTGAGGTTTGTTTATTTGGTCTATTTTTATTTTTCTGTCCCGTGCCAAGCCCTTGAAGTTAACACAGAGATATGGCCCTTTAGGACCAAGCACTCAGCATTCTTTCGAGACGGAGATTCCAGAGCATCAGATGAACCGACTTAGAGCTAAGGCGTGCTCACCCCCACCCCTTCCTACGCACGCACCAGCTCGTCCTCACGTGCGTCGGGGTAGTGGACAGTGTTGACTTGAATTGCTCTCGCTCGCTCCAAGCCTTTCCTGTGAATGAACCCGAAAACACTCGACAGGTCGTGAATAATCGTTTTAATGAGTGTGCAAAGCGTGCGACGGGGTGCACCGAGCTGTCGGGTTAAACAAACAACTTGTACCCTGACCAAATCCGATTGTTAAAGTGCAAAGTGATGTCAGTACCATTTCCATTGCCCTTCAGAAAACCACAGATCTGACACGCGGGAGTCCAATTTTCCCCATTAAAGAAAAATAACAATATTTTCCAACCGTGTATGTGATCTTCTTTAATATTAACCTGAGCCAAACAAAACCTCATTTGGGAATCAGAGAAGTAGTTGTGTCACCGCCTCAAAAACAAATCGAAAAAGAGGGAACAAGGAAGAAATCAGAACAAATCTAAAAAGCCTAACAGATTTCTTTTTGATAGCTCACACATCATTGCTGATCAATATTGTAAAAATCTTACACATACACACACACACACACAGCAGCAGCTCAGTATTGGCAAAAATCAAGTTAACTGCATCTAAACAATTGTGATAGATTATTTGGTTCTGTATTAAAATAGAAACTACCAACCTATAAAGAATTTTTTTCTATTGAAAATCTAACGGAAATATGTGCTGTTATACATTAGTCTGTGAAGGAATGAAGGGATAAGTAGTCCTCACATTTATGCTTTCAAGGAAAGAAGGTTGGAGAAAAGTAATGTTAAAGGAACCCTCATGGGCCACCACTATCTAAAAAAATAACAAAAAGCACAGTGAGCTCCACAAATCACACTCTCCCCTCTTTTTGGACAACTGTACTGGGGAAATATTTTTGTTTCTTTCACATCTAGTAAAAATACCTACTTATTTAGAATCAGCCACATGTTCTCCTTTACTTGCTCATTCTTTTACCCTCTTCCACAATTCCAAACATCAACTGCCACATGAAGACTAAGAAAATAAAACCTCAAAAGTTTTTAAAAATTCTTTTTTATGTATCTTCTTTAAAAATTTTGTGCAGAAATGTGTAAAGTGTTGCCCTTGCCAGCACCTCATATACAGTCACAAATCAAACAAAATGGCCCAGATGCTTGGAAATCAGTGTATCAGTTCCAAATAACTAGCTCCTTCAACTCAGTAACAATATAGGGAGATTAAGGTTTATATTTTCATTGGATTAAGTATTACAGATTACATGTTTTTCTTCTAATACTGAAAACATCATGTCCTACAGTCTGAAAGTTTATTCATCCTCTTATAATTGTAGTCAGCTTGTAGGAATAAACTGTTAGGGATATTGTACATTTGAATATAGGAGCT